TGAAATAGTCACCTTCCTTGTTATAACTTTTCCAGGAAGTAACCTGGCATTACTATTCCCTAACCAGACTTTAAGAAATCTAGCCTATGGAAGTCATCAGAAACGTGGACAGGTTTGTATCACCTACAGGCATTTGTGGGCTTAACTATTGTTAGCAACCATGAAAAGTCCACAATATTGAGTCACTTTTCAATTGTGCTTAAGTACAATCTTATATGGAGCACTGTGAGCCTGGCGTGTGTGTGTGCATGTGCATGCACACAATGCACTGAGTAAGCAAGAGCAACCCACCAAGGAAGGACCTGATTCTCAGGTGGCTTCCTTGTTTTCTGCTGGCCCATAGAGAGAAGCATGAAAAGAGATAAAAACTTGTCTCTTGCATAGAAAAAAAAAATTAAGGCAATTAACCTGTGTCAGGGTGTTCACAGAAACACAGGACTCACCACAGAAATGTGATTAAGGAGGAGACTGGCCCATAAACCCATTTCCATATTTGTAAATTTGGAATTCTTAAAGGCCTCTGTGGTGTTCATTGTAAGTGTCAAGTCTCTACTGGGCAACAATGTTCACCATAATGTTTTTCTTTTTGTTTTAACCAGCACCCCATATCAAAATGAAAAACATTTCCAGAATTCCCCAAGTCTCCCTCATATCACAATATTTTATTATAAAAAAGTAGAAATAATGTTAAGTATCCAACCACAGAGGAAATGACCAAGTAATTGATGATACATACATATGGTGGGATATCAGAAATGAGGTTTAGAAGAATATTTGACGACCTGGTAAAATACATTATAATGTTAAGTAGGAATAAAAATCAGGCTACAAAATGGTATTTATAATACAATCTTGTGTTATTAAAATACAGTTTCATATTGTAAGTCAAAAGACAGGCGTTAATGCAATGAAACATTTAACAGCGGATTACGCAGGATAGCAGATTCCATAGATTATTTTTATTTCCTTCTTTTATTATTTTTGTCTTTTCTACAATGAGCATATCTCACATATATAATCAGGAAAGAACTTAAAATATTATTTAAAAAAGGAAATATCTAACTTTCAGGGTTGGGTGTGGATTGAAATAATTTATGCAAAGTCTCTGTCATAGGGCCTGGCACATGAGAAAGCATTTGTTCCAGTTTTCTGTTCCTAGATTGTGCAGTTACGCAGGATGGAATTCACTTTCCAGGTTTGAACCTACACACTTCTCACATAATCCAAAGCAAAGGCCACAGGCAATAGCCTTTTTTAAGAAGACACATTCATTCATTCATTCACTCACTCACTCACACATTCATTCATTCATTCAAAAATGCACTCAGTATCTATGACATATTTAGCACTGAACTAGGTTCTGGGGATACCAAAACTGAAAAGATGATATCTCTGCCCTCAAGTAGCTCTGGCTAATGAGGGACACAGGTGTATTTATGACTATGATATGATGAAATAATTACTTTCAATAAAGATGTACACAAAGGGCAATGGGGACCAGGAGGAAGGAGGCCTTTTACAGAGGAGGTATACGCTGTAAGTTGTAAAAGGGAGGACATTAGTGGGAATAGCACGCACAAAGAAAGAGGCATAAAGGAGTATAAAATTTTCCCAGAACTATAAGTAGTTCAGTCTTGCTGGGACATAAAGAAAGAACCGGGAGGAGGAGTGGCGGGAAATAAGACTGAACAAGTAGATCACAAAAGGTCTTGTCTGTTACACAAAGGAGACTGAATTTTATTCTGTAGGGGAACCACCAAAAGAATTTTAAACAGAGGAGTGACTTGATCAGCACTAGCAAAGATACCAGGAATCCTGAGAATCATCTTAATCCTGCTGATTTCCAGAGGAAAGAAGGCGGCCCCATCCTCTAGGTCTGTCCTCTCTTAAATGAAATAACATGAAGCAGCAAACAGAACTCCACACCTGGCACACAGTAAATACTCAATAAAGATCAGCTGAACATGAATGTGAATGTGCTGCAAGGGGCAATCCCTGCTGAGAGCACAATTTTAGCAGTACCAGCACCTTCAGTTTGGTCTTGGGTCAAACAATAGAAACTCATTTGGAAGGGACTAGCGACAACTGAAAATTGTAGAATCTAACATGCAACAGGAGAAGGGCACCATATACTGTTCTGTTGTACTCCAGTGCAGAAATTCCTCTCATGGCTTTCTTTCCATAGCTGGGATTTAAGTCCCAATAATGGGATAACATCGGTTTTTTTCCCCACACACTAACCTACCTCTCTGGGATCCTGGGTGACAGGTGCTTATGCGCACACATGGTTAACTGGAGGAAGTTCATTAGTGGTTTTACTCCTGCTGTTTTACCCAATATCTCTTCTGCTTAACTCAATAAGTTGAATGGTTCTGCAGATAAATACTGAAGAAATATAAATACTATTGCATTTCTGCCTCCACTCACTGAGTGCATGCAAAATGCTTTAAGTAATCAGCACAGATGTATTAGATATATTTTATAGGCGAAGACAATGGGACTCAGAGAGGCAAAGCAACTTACCCAAGGACACTCTGATATTAAGTTGCAAAGCCACAAGGGAAAGCCATATTTATCGGACTCAGTTATCTCAAGAATAGGGTACTGTATCCTACAAAGTCGGAGTCTAAGGCAAAACAAAATTGCCAGGATACAAAAATGATACATTCTGTGAGGCTGAAAAAATATTTTGTAAATTAAACTCAAAAGGGAGCAAAGAAGAAACATATATGGGAAAAGAGAAAAAGGGGAGAGAGACACCAGAAGCCAACGTCAGCTAGGCCCTGGTCTGCAAGGAGGGATGAGAGAACCTGGGTCTGGGAGGTGGGTTGGAGGTAATTCTTCGCCCCGGAGTTGTGCAGGGGCGGGGGGGGGGGGGGGGGGCGGGGGGGAGGGTGTTTGAGAGCGGGAACCTGAAACAGGGCCGAGAAAGGAGCAAGTGAGCACCTGTCCAGCCTGGCCTGCCCCCCTTACCTGCCATGAAACCAGTCCTGGCACATGTCACACTCGATCATGAAGCGGGTCACATCATAAGGCAGCCGGCAGAGGCAGTACACTGGCACTGAGGCCATCTTCGCCCGGCCTTGGAGCGCTCGGCGGCGGGCCAGGTTCGTAGCGTCAAGAGAAGCAGGAGGCAGCAGCACGCGTCCTTTCTGGACGATGGCTGGGCACAAACAACACTTTTTACCTAGTGAAACAGCTCCCCCGGGGGTGCCAACCCGCAGTTCACGAATGGGCAGTTAGCGCTGCCGGGATGCAACACAGCTGGTGTGGCTGTAGGGGGCAATCGGAGAAAAGTCCACCCGCCTCCAGAATTTCCTTAACAAATAAAGGACGGCGTTCGACCGTCGAGGGTTTTGTGTGTGTGTGTGTGTGTGTGTGTTTTTCCCCTCCCTACCTCCTTCGGGCCCCCAGAGTCAGTGATAACTTCTTTCCGGGTTTCAGGGAAATATCTGACGCCTTTTCAGGAAGCTTCTTTAATCCCTCACGGTACCCTCTCCTTGCTCACACCTTTCTTCTAGGGCTCTATTATGACGCAAACTAGAGCCTGAATGGGCCGGGGTACCTCAGAAAAAGCCCCTTCTCTCATCCCCAAAATCTCTCTAGGGGCAACTAGAGAGAGATGAGGGATCCCTGGAAGTTGGCTCAGATTACTCGAGAATTACCTCGATGCCTTCAGGAACAAGGCAAACAAGACTAGGCGCCCAACTCAAATCACAGTTCTGGGGTCGTGCTGAGAGTTTAAATGGTCTTCTCCTTCACTCTCAAAATCATTCCATTCCCGAAGGAGTATCATCACCCCAACAAATGAAATAAATCTTAATTTCAGAACTGATCCGATCGTCCTCTACTTCAAAGACGACAGGGCTCCCGTTGCACCCCCAAAACTAAAAAGGATCTCCTCCAAACCCCTGAAACTGACTAGAATTTCTTCACACTCCTGCAACTAAGCAAGGATTTTTTTGCCTCACCGATCAGAAGCCGGCAGGCATTTCCTCACAGCCCCCTCAAAGTGAGGAGGACTCCCTTGTCCCCCAAAACTGACAGAGATCTCATCACAGATCCCAAGACTGACAGGAATATTCTTGCAGCCCCCGAAACTTACGAGATCTCCTCACGCCTCCCAAATGACAGGAACCTCCTCACGCCCCAAACCTGACAAGAATGTCTTTCGTCCCAAGCCCTACAGAGACCTCCTCATCTGCAAAGCTGCAGGGATTGCTCACTCTCGCGGAGTTCAGTTCCAGCGACGCGCCGGCTGCTGGGCTCGCTCTGGAGCGCCTGGGCGCCCAGCTCAGCGGACGATCGGCCAGCAGTTCCGGCCCCACCGGCAGCGCGCGCCGAATTCTGGGATCGTCACGGCAACGCTGCGAACCTTGCTCGCCTTCCCCCAGAACCACCCGCTGGGTCGTGCGGCCCTGGGCGCCGGGCGGTGCTTCAGGGCAGCTTTCCCCACGGTTTTGCCCCGGGCCCGGCGTTAGGGCCTACTGGAGCCCGCGGTTCGGGCCTAGTCCGGTGGCCGCCCGGTGAACAAGCAAACAGCGTCGTCGCTGGGCCAGCAGGAGATCGCCGCGAGCAAACCAACCAGGAATGAGATGCGCCGGCGGCCAGGTCGGAGGGAAAACTGCCCGGAAAGCCGCCGGGAGAAGACCGGTGGCGGTAGTAGGCGATTCGAAGTAGTCAATAAAGTTTATTCAAAACAAGGAGGAAGTTGAAGCGGAGAGGGGAGGAGAAATACGGGGTAAACAGCTACCATATTGAGAGTGGCGGCGCCGCCGCGGGGAGGCTATCCGACCGCCATCTTATGAGGGCTGGGCACACGAGGTAACCGCGGCAGAGGCGGGGAAGGGAGGCTAGCGGCTCCCGCGTGACGCCAGCAGAGGCGGGGCACCACCTTGAGAAAAGGGGACGGGATTCGGCTACCTCTGGACCTGCTCTTTTCCTCTAGGTAGCCAATCGACGCTGAGGACCTTAAGCCACCATCTTAGGCGAGGCAGTCGCTTGGCTCCATTTTGAGTGGGGCCAGAACCCTCCCAGCCTTCCTCCTCCTCCGGGTAAATGAGGAGTTAAGCACCCCCACTCCCACCCCGGCACCAACACACACACACCCCCACACACCCTCCCTCCTCCTCCTCCACACACACACACACACCCACACCCACACACCCTCCCTCCTCCTCCTCCTCCACCCCCTCCTCTCCCTCCGCGCCTTCTTGTCCTATGAGAGGAGGTGAACTCAGTGACTGCAAACTGCAAAACTAATGGGTGGCGGCGGGGGCGGGCTTCGGCCAGGGAAGGGGTGGAGTACTCACAGCAGCTCCTGTTCTTTGAGCACGTTCAGCGGGCTAGGCTGTTCTGCACGGTCTCCGAAACGTTTATTCTTCGCCCTGTAAGGAGAGCTCTGTTATTATCCCCAGGTGAGGACACGGACTTAGGGAAGACAAATGGCTTGAATTTCAGAGCCGGGAAGTTGAACTTTGCACCCTCTACCTGCCCCGCGTTCTGTCTTTGGTCCCTCAGTCGGTCCCTCAATCCTAGTTCCTCCATAAAGCTGCTGTCGACTTCCCAACTCCTCTGAACTCTCTTTTCTTTGACTCCACTGTTTCAGTTCAGTTTGCTTCAGATACAGTGCAAGAATTTTCGTGCCCAAGTCCCAGGATTTTCTGACTACAGCCTGCGGGTGGGGTGGGAGAAGAGGTTAAATGAATGGAACTCCACACACATGCTTCAAGATGGCGCTGGTGTTTCCTAACATTCTAGAATATTCTCTAGGAATCCTCATTATTTCATTTTCTTAAAGGGTCCCACCACTTTAAACAAAATATGTGTGTGCACACCAATTTCCTAAGTGGTGGTGGCTTCGGCCCTGGGGATACAATGTTGAAGAGGGACTCTGCAATGGGGAAATTGCCAGCCAGGGCAGGAGACAAGCTTGCGAGTCAACAATTGGATTACTAGGTCCAGTAAGCACACAGGTACCTCTTGCAAAGTGCAAAAATAAAGTCAGGAAAGTGCATCAGAAGCTGCTTACTCCTGTCAAAGTAGGTTTCAGGGAGACCTGAAGGTTCTCTAAATTAACAAGCAAGAGCATTGTAGATAAAAGGATCAACATGTGCAAATGCATGGAGGCACATGGGAAAACATTTACAAAGAGACGTTAAATATTAGATTTTATCCTGTAAGCGATAACAAACCACTGAAAGTGTTTGAGCGAGAGCAACTGAGTTACATTTTTGTCTTAGCCAGGGGAAAATCAAGGTTCAGTGGGACCTGAAGCTTGTACAGTTTGTGAGGTAGGACTTTAAGAAAAGAATATAGACTTGTGAGTACAAAATTAGGCTCAAAGGTAGACAGAGTATTTCTAGAAGCTATTCCTACACCTGAGTAATAACTATAAATAGAAGAGATACAATGGCTCACTAAACCCAAACTAAATGTAACCCCTAAATCAACTTCCACTTAGCTGAGTCTCAAAAATGTCAGGCAGCTCCAACACCACCTAATACAAGAGAAAGTGTGAGTGACTAGGAGGAAACCAGTGGAAGGGGAAAGCAGTTTTAACCAATTATGCCTTAAGTAGAGTTTGCAAACTTTATAAAAACCTATGACCATGTGACCATATGACAAGTGATAGGTCCTGCAGCTAAAGCTTTCTTAGCTTCACAAGGAGGCAGAAGGGGGCTCACTTTGGCCATAATAAAATTGGAAAGACACAAAGAAGATTAACATGGCCCCTGCACAAGGATGACATGCAATGTTATGAAGTCTTCCATAATAAAAAGGAAAAATGAAGGGAGACAGGAGGGAGGAGGCTGTTGCATTAGTAATGAAAAAAAGATGAGGCCTGAATCAGGACAGCTGCCACACAGGTAGAAAAGGATTAGATAAGTGGTGTATTTTGGAGATTTAATAGGCAGGGCTTGGGTACTAATTGAAAATAGTAGGTGAAGGAGTGAAAGGAGTGTAAGTTCATTTCTGGGTTGGGTGTCAGGAGTGGATAATGGTGCCATTGACTGAACTAGAGTGCACAGAAGGAAAAGCAGGTATGGTGGGGAAGAAGAAACTAAATTCAGTTTGGAGCACGTTGAGTTTAAGTGTGTGGGGGACATTAATTCACTGACCCAGAAATTCTTGAGCATCTACTATGCACCAGGCACCATGCTAGGTGCTGAGGATGTAGTGGTAACCCAGATAAGATCCTGGCCTCCATGGACCTGACATTCTACTTGGGGATCAGTCAATAACCAAACAAATACAGTTTCATTCATATATTTATTGAGCACCTGCTATATACCAATCACTGTTCTAAGCACCGGGGACTCAAGGCAAACACAAAAAGACCAGGTCCCTGCCCTCCTGTGATTCACATTCCAGCTAGGGAAATAGACAATAAGGTGAGTCAAACACGAGAATCTCAGATTGCAGTGAGTGCTATGAGGAAAATAAAGCAAGTAATGAGATAGAGAAAGATTCAGGTAGAAGTTAGTTTGTTTTAGATAGGGTACTCAAGGAAGGCCTCTTGGAGAAGGTGACATGTGATCTGAGATCTGAACAATACGAAGTGACCAGGGACAGGGCAGAAGGAATAAAAAGTGCAAAAGTCTTTTTTTTTTTTTTTTAAGATTTATTTATTCATTTGAGAGAGCGAGAATGAGAGAGAGTACATGAGAGAGGGGAGGGTCAAAGAGAGAAGCAGGCTCCCCGCCGAGCAGGGAGCCCGATGCGGGACTCGATCCCGGGTCTCCAGGATCATGACCTGAGCCGAAGGCAGTTGCTTAACCAACTGAGCCACCCAGGCGCCCAAAAGTGCAAAAGTCTTAATGTGGTGGTGGGGGGAGGGCAGTTCAGGGCACCCTTTCAATAACACTTCCTGAGCATTTATGATGGACTGGCCCAGATACAGGGGGTGACTGGGGTGGGGTCTCCAGCCATGAATAAGAGACCCTGTATTTACCCTTAAGGAGTAGACAGTCTAATGAGGGAGTCTAGGTTCATTGAACAATACAAGGCCAAAAAAAGTCAAACCCTAAGTTCTGCCTATACAGGTATCAGCAACATGTGTGGGAACAAAGAGCCACAGTTGATTCAAACGTGTTCCGTTGGTATGTCGGGAAAGCCTTCACAGGAGCTGACGTCTGACCCAGGTATAGTAGTACTCATCCCTGAAACTTCCTCCCCAGTGTTCTCGGGAGGTGGGGTGGGGGTGCTAAAGGATAATGGGAAAGGCAAAGCTGACAGGGAGGCTGCCCTGGAGTCTTTCCTCCCCTACCCCACCTCCACTTAACAGTTATAAAAATTTCCTTTTAGGGGTGCCTGGGTGGCTCAGTCCTTAGGTGTCTGTCTGCCTTCGGCTCGGGTCATGATCCCAGGGTCCTGGGATCAAGCCCTGCGCGCGAGCCCCGCATCGAGCCCTGCATCGGGGCTCCCTGCTCAGCGAGAAGCCTGCTTCTCCCTCTCCCACTCCCCCTGCTTGTGTTCCCTCTCTCGCTGTCCCTCTCTCTGTGTCAAATCAATAAATAAAATCTTTTTAAAAAATAAAAATTTCCTTTTAACTGTAGAAGCAATACTAAATGCCTTCCCAATGTAAACATTCAGACAGGCTGAAGATACCCCTGCCCACCACTCAATCCCTGTTTACTTCCTTAGGGGGAACCTCAGTGGCCTCTTTTCCAATTCATCTCTCTGCATATGTTATGTACATTTAACTGTTGAGATGCAAAATGAGAAGGGCTAAAGTGGACTATAAAGTACAGGAGAAAGAAGGGAAAATGGAAAAAATAACATGAGGAAGAACAGGCTTGCTCCAAAACAGACTGAGAAGTACAAGGACAGTGAAAACAAAAGAAAAATAATGACAAAAGAAAAATAAAGATAATAACATTATCTGAGGACTTACTATGTGCTAAGCACTGTTCTAGGCTCCTTACATGCATGTGTTAACTCACTCAGTCCTTAAAGCAACCCTATGAGTTAAGGACGGGTACTATCCCCATTTTAAGGATAAGGAATTACAGGCATATCTTGAAAATATGATGGGTTCAGTTCCTAAACACTGCAATAAAGTGAATATCATGATAAAGTGAGTCAAATGAACTTTTTGGTTTTTCAGTGCATATAAAAGTTATGTTTACACTATATTAGTCTATTCAGTGCGCAATAACAGTATGTCTAAAAAACCAACATAGATACCTCAATTTAAAAATACTTTATTGTTGGGGCTCCTGGCTGGCTCAGTCAGTAGAGCGTGTGACTCTTGATCTTGGGGTCATGAGTTCAAGCTCCATGTTGAGCATAGAGCTTACTTAAAAAAATACTTTATTGCTAAAAAATGGTAACAATCATCTGACCTTTCAGCGAGTTGTAATCTTTTTGGCGGTGCAGGGTTTTGCCTCAATGTTGATGGCTGTTGGCTGATCAGGGTGGTAGATGCTGAAGGCTGGGGTGGCTGTGGCAATCTCTTAAAATAAGACCACAATGAAGTTGGCCACATCGATTGACTCTTCCTTTCAGAAATGATTTCTCTGTAGCATGTGGTGCCATTTGATAGCATTTTACCCACAGTAAAATTTCTTTCAAAAGTGAAGTCAATCCCTCAAGCCTTGCCACTGCTTATCAACTAGGTTTATGTCATATTCTAAAGCCTTTGTTATTCCAACAGTCTTCACAGCATCTTCACCGGGAGTAGATTCCGTCTCAAGAAACCACTTTCTTTGCTCATCCATAAGAGGCAACTCACCCATTAATTTTATCATGAGATCATGGCAGTTCAGTCACATCTTCAGGTTCCACTTCTAATTCTAGTTCTCTTGTGGCTTCCACCACATCTGCAAGTACTTCCCCCACTGAATTCTTGAACACCTCAAAGTCAAACGTCATCCATGACTTAAAAAAAAAAAAAAATAGCTTGCATTTTATTTAAAACCAACCAAGCACTGATAAAATTATCTATCACGGCAGCTGTGATTGCACATCAAACCTTAACAGTAAGAACTTGGCATGGAATTCATTCTTCACATCATGTGCTGGGCCCAGCAGAAGACACCCACCTCCACCAGAGCCTCAGAGGAAGAATGAGACCCCTGGTAGAAAGGGCTCAGGTGGCAGGCACTCTGCCCCTCTCCAAGCTGTGAAGGGAAGGGGCCCTGCAGCTCTGGTTGTCTGCTCTGCCACCTGGGTGGATCCTGATCAGCAACTCCTTAGTGGCAGTGAGTGGAGGGAGAGGGGTGAAGAACCATCTGGAGCTGTGCAGACAGGATTAGTCCCCCTTTCTCCTTCAGTATCTCTGAAATCCCCCCAGGGGATCTGACGGCCATTGCAGGTTCCGAGATATAGGCACAAGCCTATGAAGCAGTCACCTTTTCTTTGGCTGAAGGGGGATCAAGATTCTGATAGGGAAAACTCTCTGCTTGGAATCAACTTCTTCTAAACTCTTGTTACAAATGTTGATATGTTGACTTCTTCCCATGAATCATGAATGTTCTTAATGGCATCTAGAATGGCGAGTTCTTTCTGGAAGGTTTTCAATTTACATTGCCTAGATTCATCAAAGAAATCACTGTGGCAGCTATATTGTTAGGAAAGGTACTTCTTAAATAATGACTTGAAACTTGAAATTACTCCTTGATTCATGGGCTAGAGAATGGATGTTGTGTAGCAAGCATGTAAACAACATTAACTTCATTGTACATCTCTATCAGAAATGTTGGGTGACTGGGTACATTGTCTTTTGGAAAGGAATCTTTTTTTCTGAGCAATAGGTTTCCATAGTGTGCTTAAAATATTCAGTAAACCACGTAAACAGATGTGTTGTCATCCAGGCTTTGTTCCACTTATAGAGCACAGGCAGAGTAGATTTAGCATCATTCTTTTTTTTTTTTTTTTTTTTAAGTAAACTATGCCCAATGTGGGGCTCAAACTCATGACCCTGAGATCAAGAGTTGCATGCTCTACCAAGTGAGCCAGCCAGGCACCCCATTAAGGGCCCTAGGATTTTCAGAATGGTAAATGAGCCTTGGCTTCAGCTAAAAGTCACCAGCTGCATTTGCACCTAACAAGAGTCGGCCTGAAGCCAGAGATTGGCTTCTCTTCTCTAGCTATGAAAGTCCTAGATGGCATCGTCTTCCAATCAAAAGCCATTTTGTCTGCACATTTACCGTAGCCACCTTCATGCATTACCTTAACTAGATCTTCTGGAGAACTTGCTGCAGCTTCTACATCAGCACTTGCTGCTTCACCTTACACCTTTGTGTTCTGGAGACTACTTCTTTCCTTAAACCTCATGAACCAGCCTCTGCTAGCTTCAGACTTTTCTTCTGAAGTTTCCTCACCTCTCTGGGCTTTCACACAACTGAAGAGTTAGGGCCTTGCTCTGGATTAGGCTTTGCCATAAGGGAATGTTGTAGCTGGTTTGATCTTCTATCCAGACCACTAAACTTTCTCCATATCAGCAATAAGGCTGTTTCACTTTCTTTTCTTTTTAATAAAGATTTTACTTATTTATTTGACACAGAGAGAGAGAGAGAGAGAGCACAAGCAGGGGGAGTGGAAGGCAGAGGGAGAAGCAGACTCCCCGCTGAGCAGAGAGCCTGACGTGGGGCTCAATTCCAGGACTCTGGGATCATGACCCGAGCTGAAGGCAGACGCTTAATGGACTGAGATGTCCAGGCGCCCCAAGGCTGTTTCTGATCATTTATGTGTCCACTAGAGTAGCAATTTTAATTTCCTTCCAAAACTTTTCTTTTGCATTCACAATTTGACTGTTTGGTGCAAGAGGCCTAGCTTTCAGCCTGTCTCGGCTTTCAACATGTCTTCCCCACTAAACTTAATCATTTTTAGCTTTTGATTTGAAGACCTGTAACTCTTCCCTTCATTTGAACACTTAGAGGACATTGTAGGGTTATTAACTTACCTAATTTCAATATTGCTGGGAATGGGGAGGCCTGAGGGGAATGAGAGAGGTGGGGAACGGCTGGAGGGTGGAGCAAACAGAACACACAATATTTATCAATTAAATTTCCTGCCTTATATGGGCACAGTTCATGGTGCCCCAAAACAATGACAATAGTAACCTCAAAGATTGCTAATAAGAGAGCACCATAACAAATATAATAATAATAATGAAAAAGTTTGAAGTATTGTAAGAATTACCAAAATGTGACACAGAGACACAAAGTGAGGAAATGATGTTGGATAAAAGGGCGCAAATAGATTTGGTGGATATAGGGTTGCCACAAACCTTCAATTTAAAAAAAAAAATCAAGGGCGCCTGGGTGGCTCAGTTGGTTAAGCGACTGCCTTCGGCTCAGGTCATGATCCTGGAGTCCCTGGATCGAGTCCCGCATCGGGCTCCCTGCTCGGCAGCGAGTCTGCTTCTCCCTCTGACCCTCCCCCCTCTCGTGTGCTCTCTCTCATTCTCTCTCTCTCAAATAAATAAATAAAATCTTTAAAAAAAAAATCAAGAACAAAAACACAAAAACAACACCCTACTATATGCAAAACACAATAAAGCAAAGTGCAATAAAATGAGGTATGCCTCCCTAGAGACTTTACCACTTGCTCGAGGTCATATAGCTAGTCCGTATCCAAGATGGAGTTCCTGGTGATACAGGTCCAGAGTCTATGCCCCTCACCACTCCATTATTCCACTAGTTGGATTTAAAAACAACTGGTGTTTCTAAGATCGATGTAGTGGGGGGGAAGGTAATCAACCATTCTTCGCATAATTTGAATCACAGAAAGCAAAATAGGGTTTACACTCACTTGGGATAAAAACTAGCAGGATGGTCCCTCAGGTGCCAAACTAGGTAGGTTAAGGACACCAACCCACTCCTCCAGGGCTTGCCTTAAGAATGTGCCACCTGTGGGGTTGCTGTCTTGACATTCTTAATAATTTTGTCTTTGAACTTGAGTCTTGTAATTGTAGTCCAACGTGACTATGGAGTATACACATGAACGGTGGAGATACACTGGATGGCAATGTGCACAGCACAGGGGCACAGTAGGTTATGTGCGTGCTGAGCGGTTGGTCAGGCTGCCTGGTGTGCACGAGCACATCTGGGGCAGTCCGGGGCACCATGCAGCCCAGAGGGGAGACAGTGGGCCAGCGACAATGGTGGCAGCGGTAGCAGAAGCAGCTGTGGTGGTGGGGCGGCTATAGCCCCAAGAGAGAGGATGGCTTCTGCCTAGAGGCGGTGATGGGGCCCGGGGTGAGAGGCAATCTTGCCCTTCTGTCAGCTGAGTGTGTCCTGGCAGCGTCTGCACAAATATGAACTCTGGCTTGAGCACTGGGACTGCTGGTGCCAGGGCAGTAAACTTTGTCAGGAAATTGTTACAAAATAAAAGTGTATGCAAGGACGGTGCAGTACAGTACATCGGGAGTTACAATTCTCTGAAGAGTTTAGAATCTCTGGTTTTGAAAACTGCTGCAACGCTGCAGCGAATAACCACAGGCATAAAAATGGAAATGAAATTTAAAGATCATCACATTAGGCACATTTGATGAAAGCTTCTGATGAGCTGATTATTAATGAGGAAG